AAAAAAAAGGGCCATATGAGCAGATAAAAGGTGGAGGGAGGGCTGGAGAGGAGAGGGGAGAGGGCTACCTTCAGATTACAGTTATTTTGGCAGTCCTGAGAGGAGGGCAAGACGTGAAGAAAGGAAGAGAGAAACTCTTGCATTAAACATGAACACGTGACACAGGATGTACAGTATTCTGCAGGTCTCACCGTGGACACAGGGGGGGAGCAGGAAGCTAAGAGGGGGGAAAACGGAGAAACCACAGAGGGGTTTATGAGGAGGAGAGAGAAGCTGGAGGACAGAGAAGTTCCCCACGACACGAAGAGTTCAATAACTCATCAATACAAGCAGTGAAAGGAGCTTCTGCAGAATATTGACTTTGGGGGACGGGGAGGTGAATACCAATACATTTAAGATTGTTTTTTTTTTTTCTTCTTTTTTTATGTGAAAATTGTACAACAAAGCAGAGCAAAAATGTTAGTTCATCTCAAATTATCCTAGTGAAATACACAAAGTGTGTCTCAACATGAGGATATGTGGACATATTTAATGTTTATATATAATAACCTTTTGCAAGTATCAGAATGTAGCATGATCGCATCTAGCATGGATTAGATAAAAGTTAGTGAACGACTTGTAAAACTACCTCCTGCTTTATTAAATCTACCAACACATAATCAGTAGTACAAATGAAACAAACAGTTAAACTCTGACAATGAAACAATTCACAAAAAAAAAAAAACGTATCGTTTAACAACATGCCACTTTAAAGTCTGTGGTGTCCAAACCTCCTCACTATTACTATTATATTCTTGTCATAAAATGCTACTTCTAACTCGCTGCCAACTCTCATAAAACCATTTTTCAGGTAAGAATAGCTGAATTAAAATATATACTTAGCAGCAGAAGTTCCTCTGAGAACTGCTTAAAAATGTGACGTGAGAGAAATGTCAGCAGAGATGCAACTATGGAAGTAAAGATTTACCAATTGATTTGCACTATGACATTTTGACTTATTAAATCAGACTCAAACTTTTTAGAGGGTGATATAACAATGTCAACAGAAGAATCTGGGCCTTTCAAACAGAAAAGAGAGGAGTTATGGGAAAGACATGTAAAGTAATGCAGAAACCTGTAAATAGTATTTCTTCAACATCTAATGAAACATCTGCAAAGGGTTCGGCTCGCATTGTTTTAGAAAATATTACCACCAGCAATTATACTTCAAACTGGATGGACGAGGATTCAATTGGGATTTTAGATGCTGCATTCTTGCACTGAAACAACCCAAGTGAGCAAACTGACAAATGTATCATTATTTAACTTTCATCAACTCCTTTGCAGTCACTAGCTGCGTTTCCATTGATCATAAAATCGCCCAAATTGGAATTACGAAAATAAATTTGCTCAACGGAAACCAGTCAAGGTTTTCGACGGAAAGATGTTGCTCCAGGTTGAGGTAGTTTTTTCGGCTGTATCGACAATTAGTGTATTTTGCGAAACTGCAATGGGAACACTCTGTTTTCACGTCACACGAGTCGCATGACAGGAAGTTACTTCTGGAGGAATAAGGACAAAGGAGACGACAGGAAGTGGTAGGAGGATGACGGCGCTGTGTTTTTTGGTGACTTATCATGTGAATAAACTTATTCACATGTGATATTAATTGCGTTTCTAAATTAATGGAAACACCGCGACTGTGAAAGTGCGTTTTTTCTTGACATCAGCAGACTATCAGCATTAGTGATGGAAACGCAGCTACTGTCTCTGAGACGTGATTTCCTAGCAGTAAAATATGATCTAATTCATGTGGCAACTGGGTGTCTTCACTGAAGAAGCATACTAAAAGGTGGATGTGCTGACATGAAATAAACAGTTAATTTTTGCAGCAAATATGACCGCTGTGGACACAAGAGTGTAAAAGAGACAATAAGAACATCCACAGCTGCAGCTGCCACATGGTGATTAAGCCAACAGCTGTGGCGCTCGGTGACAATCTGATAACCGTCCTGGACATGATACTGAGCTCAGGACAGCTGGACCAACCGTGTGTGTGTGTGTGTGTGTGTGTGTGTGTGTGTGTGTGTGTGTGTGTGTCCTTTATTTAACCAGGAACAACACATTGAGATAAAAACATCTTTTCCAAGAGAGACGTGGCCGAGAAAGCAGCAGCATAAAACACACGACAAGACGGAACACCCAAACACATAAAGAACCGTTTCACATTTCATGAGAAATACTCTGCAGACATTGGAGAGGTTACAAGAGACACGTGAGCCGACGTCTCTGTCCTTTAAAGCCGACTTGAATCGCCCCAAAGTTACGGGAGGTGACCAAATTAAATCCCTCTGGATATTAATCCAGGTGGCAGGAGAAGACAGTTTAAAAGCCTGTTCATGCAGTCCAGTTCTAACTCTTCCATCAAAGTTACAGCAATGTTTACTTGAGTCACTTTTTGGAAAAAAAAAACCAAAAAAAAAAAACCTGTACTTTTATGAGTATTTTTTATTTTTACTTGAGTAATTTTACTATGAAGTATCACTACTTTTACCTGAGCGAAGTTTCTGAGAGTAACTTCACTGAATGAAGAACAAACATGTTTTAACCAGAATATCTCCAGACCTGCAGCTTTTAGTTAAATCTTCATACAACTACATACAGCTCTGGAAAAAAAATATTAAGAGACCACTTGAAATGATCAGTTCTCTGATTTTACTTTTTATAGGTATATGTTTAAGTAAAATTAACATTACTCTTTATTCTGTGAACTACTGACAACATGTTTCTGAAATTCCAAGCAAAAATTTTGTATTTACTTGCAGAAAATGAGAAATGGTCAAAATAATGAAAAAGATGCAAAGAAAACAATTCATTTAGCAACAACAATACTAAAGTTTTAACTCAGGAAGAGTTCAAAATCAACATTTAGTGGAAGAACCAGGAGGTTTTCAATGCGGTTCAGTGCAGTGGGACAAAGACGTCAGCTGGAAAAAGATCAACACACTAAGTGACATAAAAAACTAATAGGAAAACTGAGGGGTGATCGTTTTAAAGCGATCCTCACCTCAAATTTCTTCCTCAATTCGTCGTTTCCATCATCCTCCACAGAGATGGGGACGTTGTAGTACTCCCCCTCCTCCTGACACAATAACTTGAACCTAAAGACACACAGAGGAAGAACAAAGAGGAAGGAAACACAAAGGAGAGAATCGGAAGATTGAAAAAAAAAATAAGCAGCTATTCCTCCAATGATCTTAAATTGAGTAAATAGGTAAATAATAAAGCAGATAAATTGATCATACATTTACATTCTACAATATATGAGATAAAATCCCAATAAAATGTAACTAAATTTGTGGTTGTAACACAAAACAGTAAGCTAAGGCTACATAACAGGAATAAGCACCAAATACTAAAATAATGTCTGTATAGAACAATTAAACGGCTAAGTAGAGCAAAAGTCACTTTCTTCAAACATAATTTTATTTTTTTTATCTAATAAATATTGGAGTATTTACTTGGTGTGTAGGTTTTACGGCTAAAGGTTTCCAACTATTTCTGTTTGCGGTTTAGAGAAGCGATAATCAGCATTACCAGCCGCAGGCAGGAGACTTCATGAGCTCTGACACGCCAAAGGAAAGGGATCCCATGAAGTCGTTCCTGGTGGTCCGATCCCAGTCCCACACTTCTACAGACAGCCTGCGATCTTTGTCCGAAGGCTTCAGCTTGCTGAAAAGCACATCATGATCATTATCAAGTAAAAACAAAAAAGAAAAGGAAAAAAATGGGGTACCAAAGTTTCCCCCAGCCCGGTGGTTGTGGCGCTCGGCAGACATTCATCCAGCGGCCAGCCGTGTTTTTTAATTAAAAAATATTTATAGTTGACGGGAAATGTGAAAATACCACATGATAATTATGCATTATTGGAAGATCAATACCTGAACACAAACTATAAAGTCTTAAAAAATGCAAACATTAAAAAAAAAAACTTAAAAAAATAAGCAATGCTAAGCCTGGTGGGGGCACAAGAAAAGCCTGGTGGCCCACCAGGCTTATAATACTCCAGGGGAAACCCTGGGTACAAACTACAACCTCTTGATGACCAATTCCTTCTGTACTCCATGATTACTTCAGGCAATGACAAGTGAAATTTCAGACAGCGTCTTGTGGCTTCATGAAGGACAGAACAGAGAGAAGACAGGAAATAAACAGCGCTCACAAAACTATGGTCTCGTCCCATCTGGGGTTGAGGTTGGAGTATATTCTTTTGGTCTTCTGCTTGGTCTCGTTTTTAGGATCCGGTATGAGCTTGAGTTTGACGTACGGATCGGAGAGGCCGTTGGGATCCATGGGAATGAGGTTTTTGCCTTCAACAACTGAAAGAGACGAAGAATGAGGAAGAACGTTTAACCTGGCTGCTAAAACGAAGACGAGACGGCGTACAGTGGATACACAAATATAAAAATTTACAACACCACTAATATTTTGTCAGATGTATTTTCTTTTTGTGACAACCACTGGGGGGGAAAAAAGAGAGAAAAAATAAAAGAATAAATTTTGACTTCGATCTTCTGAGATCAAAAGTCAGCACTCTGTGCAGTTTTGAAGTTACATTTTACATAATTATTCCATCCTAGAAAATAATCCTTCAAAGTAGAATGAACATAGCATTCGTGTTAGGTGTATGTAAACCTCTGACCAGAAAGCTGTAATCTGAGCGAGTTCATCATAAGTAAGCATGCTGATAAAAAGAAGGGCTCGTTATATTTGCACTTCCTCACACGGACGTCCTGTTTAATGTTTAGTGAGAGACCACAGGTTGGCCATGTCAGGAAAACATAAAACCCCCCCCAAAAAAACAACCTGAATTTTAATCAACAGGTGAACATCTGCAAAATGAAATCGATAGATTCTGGATCAATCGACAAGCTGGAGCCTATGAGGATTATTCCTGCTTCTGAGACATAAAGGGACCGAATGCAGGGAGGCATTATGGGAACAGTGAGTCACACATGCAAGCTGTGTCATGCTTAAGTAGGCGAAGGCTCTCGTCTTGTCCTCCCATATGTAGTTATTAAGTAAACAAGGGCACACTGGGGACATTAGCGCTCCATTAGCGCTGAGATTTGGAGCACCGCCAGACATGCATTACACTACAGCACACACATATATCTGCATGCAGTCAGGTGTACGTATACACGCAGAAACACACACACACACACACACACACACACACGCTGTGTTTATCGACACACACTGGACTGAAATTCCCTGCAGAAGCAACATGAATGCATGGCTGCTTGGTTGAACTGCGAACCCCTGAGACTTTATGTCCTGTTACTGAGACATAAAGGGACCCAATGGTATTACGTTACATGCATATAATACTTGGTATTTACATACATATAATACTTGGTATTACATTACATACCAAGTATTTTTGGTCTAGTTTCTAGTACAAATATCTTAGCACACTTGAAATAAGACCAAGCTAACTAAACTTACAAGTAACTGTTTAAATAGATATAGGAGCTAACAGAGTCAATAACACAAAAAGTACTAGTTCACTTATAACGAGACATTTTTTCATTGTTATAAGTGAAATAATCTGTTATCAGTATTAAAGCTGTAATATGTAGCTTTTACAAAAAATATGTTTTTACATATTTGTTGAAACTCTTACTATGTTGTGACAAAATGGTACGAGACAGATATGTGAAAAAAATTCAGCTTCTCCGTCTTCTCCAAGTGCTTCCAGTTACAACCAATCAGAGCCAGGAGGAGGGTCTTAGCGCTGTCAATCATGACGGTGTGTGCACCGTTCCCCCTACGCTACAGCTTCTCGCCAAAGCCTGCTGCGAATGCTAAGGCTAGTTAGCATGGCCATCGATGACAGAGGATAAACAGTTTTTCTGTGTCTCGTTTCTCCGCCATTAGCACATTTAGCAAAGTGCACATGAACATGATTTACAGCGCTAAGACCCTCCTCCTGGCTCTGATTGGTTGTTTTTGGTAGTGGGTGTTGCATTTCTTCAGAAGTTCAGCGAGCAGTAAGAGGAGATTAATCTTTTCATACACTGTCTCATATTACATTGACGGTTTTAACAAATATGTAAAAAAAAACATTTGCTTTATAGGTTACATACTGGAACGTTAAGGAATTATAGACTTAACACATGCACCTATACATTGCTGAAAAGTTGCTTGTAAGTTTTATCTTATTTCAAGTGTAATATTTGCAGTAAACTAGATAAAAAATATTGAGTTTATTATTTTTTGCAGTGCATGGAGGCCTAAACAGTGACGACTGTCAAAGACAGGGAGCATTTAAAATAGTCTGAGTGCTATAATTTAATATTTGAATTAAGACAAATAAACAGAAGCAGAAACATCAGTACCAATGCCACTGAGAACCATCAGAAACCTGAAAAGCAAATTCGATAAGCTTCTAATCAGGGGAAATATTATAAAAGTGTTTTATTCTTTGCTTTACTTCAGCCTGTTCAGTTGTGGTAATAGAATAAAATGGCTCTTTGGAAAAAGAACAAGAATATGTGGCCTTCTGCAGTTTGTTTTTGTCCTCTGGACCTTGCGGTGGAGAATCTGAGTGCTGAACAAATACAGCAAGATGTTAGAGGAGCGCTGGAGAACGTTGCAGCAGAGCGTGTTTGGATTACACGGCAGATGTAAGAGGTTTAGAGGAGCAGCTCGAGGTGGAGGAAGATATTGAGCGATTCCTCCGCACTTTTCAGAAAGCAGACGGCTGCCGGTTTAGAGAGGTTTCGCTGCGGCTGAGCAGTGACCTCCCATCACGAGGCACTTCAGAGAAAAACAAAAGAACCGGCCGATTTCCTGGAAATCAAGAGTTTTGCGGCTTCCGTCTCAGATAATTGCATTTTATTTCATTTGAACTGGTAAACCAAAAGCAGCAAAACTGAAAATATAATCATAAATAAAAGCCATTGAGTCGACTGGCCTACTTTCTCAAATTAAATCAGAACACATGGTTCAGACACAATGAAGAGCCTTTGGAGGTCATGGTATATATGGATGATGACAACAATACTGAATATTATACTGAACAGCAGAATATTAACAGCAACTCTCTTTTTTTCTGAGTGTCTGAGCCAAACAGGGTTTAGTTTAACTAATATGTGTCACTTTATGTTAGACTTAGTTTTTGGGCCAAAACCAACAGTGACAAACTGGTAATTGTTTGACATCACGTTGAAAACTCATGAGTAAAACCCAACCTGCCTGCATGGAGAAAAGTGAAACTTTCAGCTGCTTCCATTCACTGCTGCTGTTTTGGCTACATCCTCGTCAGATTTGGGTTTTCTTTTTAATTCTATGTTGTTGTTTTTTTTTTACTTACTTACTTTCTCATCTTCAGAGATGAAGGTGAATTAAGCTGCCATAAACTGCATACTGGCATTTGCTGAGCAAGAATGAGTTTCTGCTAGATAAGAACTCATTTCTTGATTTCCAACAGGACTTTTCTCCTGTTTCTGCTCTACACATAACAGGTTTGAATGATTTTTTTTTTTTTGCACATGCAAATTGATAGCTTCAGTAGCTCTTAATCCCAAAATATTATAAGTCATTTTTGCATACTTCAGATTCCAGCTACAAATATGCAAAAGCCCCCGCCCCCGTATGATATTTAGAAATAAAAAGGACATTGTTCAGACGGCTGTTATGAGGAACTGAGACAGAAAAATTAAACCAAGCATATTTTGGCTGTGGACACAGTTCAGATTTAAGGGCCAAAATAGTGTCTAAAAAAAGACAACAAAAACAAACAAACACAGTAATCAATATAAAGGAAACCACATGAGAAATTGCATTGAAATAATTTTTTGTTGTGTGAAAGACAATGAAGTGATATTGAAATTTTTTGATGGCTCTACAGACTGAATATATAAATTATCTGCCATATTTTAACTGTCTTGCAACATCTGGGGCTTTACTTGCTCACAGGAAACACAATTGGTGGTTGTTGTGTTTCCATTTGTCACCAGTAGGGGGCATCCCAGACTATCTAATTCAGCTCAGAGGGCACAGAGCATTGACTTTCCGGGAGAAATCAAACAAAGTGCATTTGTGTAACAATGTGAGGATGGAAGAAACACTCTTTTCAACCCATTGTGCTTCACAGGGGAAAATGAGCATTTGTGCTGTTTTCAAGACGCTGACCCTCTTTAACCAATTAGTCAAAAAAAGAAAAAAGCTTTTAGACTTGTCATAACTGCTGACACTGCGTAAGAAATCCAATCTGCTCTCTGAGATCTATAATTTCACTACTATTTCATCCTTTGACAAGACGTCGTTCCCGTTGAAAAGAACGAGCTGCTCAAGTTCACACTGGAAAAAGTGTTATAAAAAATCAAAATACGCGTCAGCTGCTGTTATGAGACACAAAGCAAAAAGAAATAGACAAATAGAAGGACCGGAAAGCACTGGAGAGATGAAAGGTGGGTTCATGTGTTGAAGGCAGAGGGCAAAAGCTGAGAGGAGGGAGCTGAGGCAGGAAAACACAGTGGGAATACCAACAACACGACTTCTGGGAGTCTGGCAGCAGAAATCCCTCAGCAACAAAGTTCAGCTGTTCCCCTGAACTCCGTGGGGACGCTGTGAACAGGAACGTCGCCTGTGTGTGTATTTATCTGTTAGTGTGACAGAGGGGGGGATGCAACGTTTGGCCCACCGTGTCCCACTGCGCTCCACGGATCATTTCTCAAATGAAAATGTTTCGACACTTAGTCTTAAAGTTAAAACGCGTGAAAATGAATCTCTGAAGCTTTTGGGAAAGGTCTAGCATGCTCCGATAATAAAAACGTCCCTGCGGACCGACGTATTCTTGTAAAAAGGCTTTATTTACGCAGTGGAAACACTTATGCAGAGACAAAAAAAAAAGTCTTGCTCTCGGACGACGCTGCCTCGTAAAATGTCAGCAAACAATAGAATTTAAAAGTGGAAAAATACCAGGTTTCTAAAGATTGTAATAAGTAACTTCAAGCTATCTTCGATATATAAAGTGATATTTATCATGTAAAGTTCAAATGAAAAAACGAAAACAATCTGCTGTGAGAAAAACAAACAAGTTGGCTTATCACGATAAACTTTGTTGGATGTGAAATTGTCACAAAAATTATTGCCATAAATGATAATATTGTTGTTTTGAGGCCATTTTCAAGTTATAAAATGATAATCGCATAATAATGCAAGTTTACCCTCTCAAAGACCAATAAACTTTAATTTTTAAAGAACATTTAACACTGGAAGAGGAAGATTAAAATAAAAAAATACAGTGTAAATAAAAACCACACACAACCAGAACCATAAATGAAATGAATTATTGTCTTTGTAAATAACA